CATTAGGTCCTCATGTTTCCCCTCCCCCCTCCTGGTAGGTTCCAACTTGTGGCCTTTTGAAATTAGAAGCTGAGCACTTAATCTGTATGAAGGTCTATTTATGACATCCAGGATGTAACTGGATTGATAATTGCCCAGGGCAGGGGTGAGGGGTGGGGGGAAATGGAGAACAAGCAGCAAGAGAAGAAACTTCTGAAACTGATTGTGGTGATGATTGTATAAATCTTAATATCATTGAAGACAAATTTTATGATATGGGAAGTGTATGCCAATGACACTTAAAAAAATAGGATTGCATTTAGAAAATGTTTAAAACCTGGAAACATTTCTAACCTGGATAAAAATGAAATGGAAGAATATATTTCAATATGGAGGTAATAGCTGTCCAATCATATACGTTGGGGATTTCTCCTGGAAAAGTCAGAAAATCTGGGTCTGGAATCCCAGGAATTCCCAGGATAAACACCGGAGTGCACCCAGCACTGGAGTGCTACCTTGAACGTAGCTCTCCCCCACCTGCTCTCAATCCTGTATTCTCGGTTTAGAAGGTTTTCGAATGTTAGCTGCGTGGTAGCCGAGGGCGTTACACTCCAGGGGTTCTTCCCACTCGCTAGCACGGCTGCAGGACTCCGGAGTGGGAAATGCGGGGGAGGCGCAGCCGCAGTAGCTGTCGCGCACCGAAGAGGGGCGTGACTATTCGGAGCGCTCGACAGGACGCCGGGCCCGCGCGGGCGGGCGCCCCCTGCTGGTGGGTCCCAGCATCCTGAGCCGCTCGAGTCCTGGCTGGAAGGGCTTTGCGCATGCGCATTTGGCCGGCGTCTGTCGGCGAGCTGGGACGTCCTCCGCCCTGGAGTTGTGGGGGCAACGGTGTTTTCCCGCGCTTTTTCTGGGCGCTTCAGGTGAAGTGTTTTTAATGTGTTATTTTTGCCAGTGTCGTCATTTTTGGTTCGCCCGGCTGAGCGCGCTAGAGCAGGCTAAGCATCCCGGAGTGAAGTTTCCGTGGGCCCCACACTTG